CCTTTGGCAAGTAAATAGTCACATGATTCATTGACTCTGGTTCTTTTATAAGGTAGGTTTTTTTATATTTTTAATACAAAAATTATTGCTCTGACAGTCCAATCAAATATATTTAATTTTGGAATTTGGAGGAAAGGCATAAACCTAGTTTATTACAAAAATACCTCTTTTTAGTTTTCTTAGCCTTAAAATATAACCTCCCCCCTTTTACATAGGTAATGCTTTCACATGGTATTTACATCAAGACATCTTGTTTTCCACCCCTGCCTAAATATACACACAATTTTCCTTGAATCTTTTACGATACTCTTTCTTTTTTACTTTTTTTTTTAATTGTACTTTAAGTTCTGGGGTACATGTGCAGATCTTGCAGGATTGTTGCATAGGTACACACATGCCATGGTGGTTTGCTGTCTCCATCCGCCCCCCAACCTACATCAGGCATTTCTTCCAGTGTTATCCCTCCCCAACCTCCCCACCCCGCAGCTGTCCCTCCCCTAGTTCCTCACTCCCCAACAGACCCCAGTGTGTGATGTTCCCCTCCCTGGGGCACTCTTTCTGAGGGAGCGAGGGAGAGAGGGAGGGAGGGAGGGAGGGAATTAATGTGTGTATGCACACGAATGTGTGTATGAATTTTCAGGGTTTTAAAAATATAGATGTAATTACAAATACATTTATTTCCCCACTTTTCATATATAGGAGACATAATATGGTATGTATCATTCTGCATTTTGTTTTTAATGTTTATGTAGACCGTTATGGGAATTTTGTTTCCATACATAGAGAATTTTTTTTATAACTACAGTTGCATTGTATAGATTATTTAACCAGTGCCCTGTTTATGAGCATTCAGGTTCTTTCTAGGATTTTGATATTCAGTCGCTACTGTAGTGAATAATGTTGCACATACATTATTCTTATGTATTGCAGGTATATCTATGAGATAGATTCCCAGAAGTGTGCTTGACTAGGTCAAAGAAAAATTTGCATTTGTGACTTTGATAGATATAAATTTTGCTTCATGGGTCTTGCTTAATTATGAGATGTCTGTTTACCTATAGCTTCATCAGTAGAATATATTGTCAGATTTTTGGATTTTTGACAGTCTGATAAATGAAAAATATCTTCACAAGTTTGGGTTTGTTTTCCTCTGAGTGAAACCAAACACGTTTTTATATGTGTGAAGGCCATTTATACTTCTGCTTCTGAGAGCTTTCATGTACTTTTCCCTTTTTCCCCTTGAGTTGTTGGTTTTCATCTCAATTTTTCAGGAGCTCTTTTTGTATATCAGGAAGCTAACATACCTGCCAAATTTGTTGCAAATATATTTTTCACCATTTGTGCTGTCTTTTGACCTCACTTTTAATGTGTTTGTTTTGCCATCCAGAAGTTTTTTTTTAGTTTTATGTAGGTGAATTTAATATTTTTTCCCTTTATGACTTATAAATTTTGCATCAGAATTATAAAAGCCTTTTTCATTTGAATATTTGAAGGTGCCATGTTTTCTTCTAGTTCTTTTATGGTTCGTTTCACTCTCCTTCCCTTCCTTCCTTCCAACATTTAAATATTTGATTCATTTGCAGTTTATTCTGGTATACAATATGAAGTGTGGCTGAACCTTGTTTTCTAGATTAGTTCAGTTGTCCCAGCATATCAGTTACTTAAAAGTTCATCTTTACTCCATTTCACATGTTGCCTTTATCTTATTTGTACTTCCTTTATGTGTTAGGGCCTATTTTGGTCTTTCTGTTTTGTTCCATTGATCTCTTCATCTGTTGCACAGGTACTATCATGAAAAATCAAATAGTATAAAAATTCAGCGTACAAAAGTGGAATAAAGACTGATAGATGGCTTGTCTTGGTAACAGCAGAAAACCAAATTTTTGCTTATTGATGAAATATACATACAACTTAGGATCAGCATATGCAGAGAAGCATGAGGGAGCATAGCCATATCTGAAGTGCATTACTGGAGTGCCTGTGGCAAATTACCAAAAAAGCAGATTTTTAGCCACTGAGAGCCTGCCTACTTTGCAGTCCCCACAAAACTGCTTTGTACACAACATCATTAGCTATAGATAAGATCAGATCCCAGGGATATAAAGATTCCAAGCTGCTGTTGCCCTTTGGAGCTCTTTGATACATAGACTCCCTGCTGGGTTGTCTAGCATTGTCAGCTAGACATATAAACTCCCTCTCCTATTCCCCTCTCCCCTGAGAGTTCCCTAGCCCTCATCTTCTGGGTGATAGCCACTTCACCCCAGCTTCTGGCCAATCCTGTTTGGGTAGTGGCCACTCTGCCTTAGCCTCTGGACTATATGCTGTAAGGACATCCTCTGCATGCAGACCTGTCAATGTCACCCAGTAAAGCTTATACATGCTACTGCCACCTCGTGGTTATATCTTTTTCTTTGCTTAGACCCCAAATCCCTCAAATTTAAAATATAGTTAGGTTCCTACCAGCTTCTAGTCATATTTTCATGAGTCAATACATAATCTTGTTTTGTGTGTGTTTCTGTTTAAAGACATATTGTTGATTGATTAACATTGAACTCACAGCTGACATTACTATAACTCATGCCTGAAGGAAGCTGGCCTAACACATGTACTTACTCTTCCAGTGTAAGTACAGCCTTCTTATGCTTACCAGCCCTAAATAGCACTTGAGCAATATGCTTAGAGGATATTGTAAACAGAATCATCAACAAAAAGCACAGAAGTGAGAAAAATGTGGCACCAAATAGGCTCTGCCCAGGATACTCGTTTATAGTGTGAAAATTGAAACAAGAAGGCAGAGAGAGTGTCACTGTTTAACCTCAGTTGGAGAGGTGCATGCATTAGGTGACTCAAATATTTCGCTACTCTGCGCAAGTCTGTGAAAGCACTGTGAGTATTGACTTTAGAGTTACAAATAAATTTTAGCAAGTAGAGAGATTTGCAAGTATGCACTCCACAAGTAATGAGGATCAACTGTACCAACCCAGTCTGCTCTTAAATACTTCCAGTGATAAGCCCACTCCCTCATGACAAACTTTTGTCTTGCTGGCTAGGCAAAAGTTTGGGTTTTTTGGCTTATAGCCGTTATTGGAGGTAAAGAAAAGAAAAAAAAAAGGGGGGTTTTGTTGTTTTTTTTTTGTCTGTTTGTGGCGGTGTCTCACTCTGTCACTCAGGCTGGAATTCAGTGGCACAATTTCTGCTCATTGCAGCCTCTGCCTCCTGGGTTCAAACAATTCTGGTGCCTCAGCCACCTGATAGCTGGGCTTATAGGTGCCCACCACTACGCCTGGCTACTTTTTGTATTTTTTAGTAGAGATGGAGTTTCACCATGTTGACCAAGCTGATCTCAAACTCCTGACGTCAAATAATTCCACCTCCTAAAGTGCTGGAATTACAGACGTCAGCCACTGCGCCCGGCCTGGGTGGTTTTAATGGTTATATTGCACTACAGTCTGTATCCTATTATTTCTAGTCACAGATCCTAATTAGGCTTTCTGGACTATTCCCTCCTCAATATATTATTTAAATTCAGCTGTCTTATATTCATATTTCCCCCCATTTTTCCCCTTTAGCTTAAAGATCCCCAATTTCTTTGGAAGCTTTTGGTTTGCTAAGCACCTGAATTTAAATGAATGGAACTTATTGTTACAAACTAACACTTCCCCTTCTCTGCCCCACACCTCCTCCCAATAAAAACTGTATCCTCTACTCCCACTGCCTCACTTTACACCTTCAGTTCCAAGTTATTCAGATTTGGGGGATGAGGCGAGAAAAAGGCTAGATACATGGACAACTTTAAATATACAGAAAGATTGCTTTTTCTTTCCCTCACTCTTCCCATGTCATCTCTACTTCTCCATATGTTGGCTTCATTCTGTAACCAGATTTTCTCAGTGTGGTAGAGAATATGGCCACTGAGGGCTCCAGATTTGTATCTTCTCGTCACAGTTGTAGTAACTACAGTAGAAATAAGGACTTCTCTCAATTAATGTCCATGTGTTAGTTTAGGGAAAACTCAGGTACAGTTTGGGTCATATATATAGCCCTGGACCAGTGGCTCTTGCCAGGGGTATGGAAAATTGATTAGCCAACCTGTGTCATCTGTAGTGACACAAAAGTAGTGACCCTTGATTGATAGCTTTTCTAGTACCATGTGGATTTCAAGAGAAGGGAATATTCCCAGAGGAAACAGGGACGTTAAACAACAATGTCAAGTATACACATTAAGACAGTTATTTTCTTCCTGCTATGCTTAGAGCCAGTAAGATGTCTCTTAAGGACAATCAGTGTGATTTAAGGATTATAGAGTTTTCAGCTTTGAACAATATTGGATCAAAATTGATTTTGCTTTTAATATTAACATCTATTCTTTCTCAGTGGTGGATATACTGTGTTGATGGGTGTATTATAGCAAATACTGTTATATTTTCTTTTTATATGTTTAAAGTATTTCTTTTTTTTTTTTTTTTTTTTTTGAGATGGAGTCTTGCTCTGTCACCAGCCTGGAGTGCAGTGTCGCAATCTCTGCTCACTGCAACCTCCACCTCCCAGGTTCAAACAATTCTCCTGCCTCAGCCTCCTGAGTAGCTAGTACTACAGGCGCGCACCACCACACCCAGCTAATTTTTGTATTTTTAGTAGAGACGGGGTTTCACCATGTTGGCCAGGATGGTCTTGATTTCTTGACCTCGTGATCCACCCACCTCGACCTCCCAAAGTGCTAGGATTACAGGCTTGAACCACCGCGCCTGGCCTGTATTTCATAATTTTAATAAAATAGCAGAAACTTAATTTTGCTTTAAGTTGGTATATAATAACAGATATTTGGGTTATAATTTCCCTTCAGCATTAAGTTAGCTGTAGAAATGATATATCTGACCTAGTAACCCATTTGGCATTTTAAAGATGGTATACTCTAAAGGTAAATTACTAAATTTTTTTAATGATATGAAAAAATGTAATTGCTCCTTTTACTTCATATCAATATATTTATGATACTATAGGTACCTGCAAGGTGTGGAGTTACAGTCCGAGACAGTCTAAAGAAAGCACTGATGATGAGAGGTCTAATCCCAGAGTGCTGTGCTGTTTACAGAATTCAGGATGGGTATGGTTTGTATGTGACGTGAAATTTTGTTTAAAAAGAAAATCACACCTTAAACTTTGAAGTTTTCTTAGGATCTTTACCCAGACCTGGAGAATTGAAAGTCTACTTTAGGAAAAAGTATTAAATTAATATTCAGTTAGCCTGAAGAAATATTGTAGGCCATATGAGGAGTTAAATTAGGTAATTTTATATGACTGTAGTGTTTGTTACTCTGATCAAATGATTTTATTTGGAATTTGAGATTCTTACAATTTTTGAACCATTCAGAGTGTGATTTATTTGGATAATGGACTCTTATACCCCCTCCCATTTTTAATACAAACTCATAATTTCACAAAAGGTATATCAAAATTAACATTTTATATTGACCTACTTTTCTTTCAGAAAGTGTCTAACATTGTTCCAAGACCCTCACATTTTGAATCCTGTTGTTTTTTTTTTTTTTTAAATCATTTTGGGGACATGTTGTCCCTGTCCCTTGAGTACTTTTTTTCCTTGAATGGATAGATAAGTCCGTACCTGTGATTTTTTTTTTTTTTTTTGTGGGGGGGAACCCCAGGAACAATCCATTTTCTGCTGTTGTAGGTCTTTTCTGGAGCTGACTTGAAGAAAAGAGTACATCTCTTTACCCTGCTGTTTGTCCAAGACTGATACATTTATTTGGGGTAAACTTAAAAATTAATTTATTGCCATTTAAATTTCTAACGATGGATTACTAGGGAGCCAAACCTCCCTCACTGTTACTAGCCCCTTGATAACCAATGTTCATATCTTCAGCATAAGGTATATGAATATTTTTAGGTGTAATAACCAAGAAAGGCTTGTGTCTACATTTTTCAGAGAGAAGAAACCAATTGGCTGGGACACTGATATTTCCTGGCTTACTGGAGAAGAATTGCATGTGGAAGTGTTGGAGAATGTTCCACTTACAACACACAACTTTGTATGTATCTTTACATTTTTTTGGAATGTCAAAAATGTTCAAATTTTAATGAATGCATTTTTATTTAGGGAATGTGAAATATGGATGAGTAATATTTTAAAAAGCAGTATGTATGCCTTGCTAAAAGAAAATACTTTTTGAATAGTGCAAAAGTATGTCAAATTAAAAAAGTGAAAATATTCTCCCAGAGGCCAACATTTGTGTAGATTAACAGGTTATTGTTCTGTCTTCCACATTTTTTTCTGTGTACACAAACGTGCTTATACCTGTAAACCATTTTTTCTTTTTTCCTTTTTTCTTCCTTCCCTTCATTACTTTTCCCTTTCTTAAACCAAAAATGGAGCCATGCTATATGATATTATTTGCTTTTTTTGTACACCTGGCTTTATTTTAGTATGATTGTGTAATAGTTCATAAGAGTAGGAATTCAGTATATTTATCTATTTCTTTGTTGATAGACATTTAAGTTTTTGTGTTTTAAAAAATCTGTTACATATAGGGCTATACAGGGTCTTTCTGCATATATCGTGACACCCTTGTACAAACCCTTGTGTTTCTGAAGGATAGATTAATGGAAGTAGAATAGCTGGGTATTAAACTCTCCTTGAGACTCCTTTCTTTGTCTGGTTTTTGCATTTGCTAGAACCTAGCAAAATCATGGTATCACCTGTCACCAGCATAAGTCCCAGAATGTAGGACCTTTCTATTTTAGAGATGAGGATCTACGGAGAACTGGAGAACCTATCCTCTAAATTGGTAGGCAGAAGCCAAAAGTTGTCTCTAAGTCAGGAAGACATTTCTTACTTTTCTCTATATATGGAATTTTGGCCAGAGTTTTTTCTAGGTGGATAGTTACTGCTACCCTTTAGGCATCAAGTGTTTTCCCATGTGTCGTGGTGATTAATTCAGCCGGGCCCTTAAAACAGATGATTGATTGGATTATTTCCTTTGGGGTTTATGCTTTCAAGCCTCCATTAGTAGTGAATAATGAAATCAGGTTTGTGTTTCTGTAAGGCATTTTTTGGACAAGTGTAAGATACACCTAATGTCAATCAGATTTTACTGTGCAGCAGATAATTTTATAATAAGCTAGGAAGTTCATTATTCATTTTTTTTAACATGCTGAATTTTAAGTGGGTAAATCTTAAGATTTTTGTTTAAGTTCTTAAGAATCCAAAAACAGTTGAGCATACATTTCATAGTGATTACTACCGTATTTCTTAATAATCTAGAAATTGGATATGAGGAGATAAAAGAAAACCTAAGTTGCTAAGTGTGAGAAAATAGTATTAAAATGGTGCCTCAGGAAGGTCCTTGCCACAGAAGGATAGTGAAAGCAAATTGCAGATTGATTCCAGAGTTTGGAAATTCTCACCCACAGTTAGAGACCTGCCAGTAAAGTCTTATTGAGAACTTTCCTTTTGCCAATACCTTATCTTACCTGGGGATATGACAGTGAATAAGACAGTGTCACTGCCCTAGAGAGAAGATTTAATAAATTTTCATAACGTTCATAATTGCTATGAATGTCTAAAGTTCTGTAGATGCACAGAGATTCCTAACTTGGCTTTTGAGGAGTCAGGAAAGTTTCCCAGAGGCAGAAATATCTAAGCTTAGGCCTGATGGATGAGGAAATAAATAGCAAGTAAAGAGCACTCTAGACAGAGGGAACAGCAAGAAAGCATGTTACCTTTGAAAGTTTTGAAAGAAGTTCAGAATCGATGATATAAGGTTGAAGAGTGGATTATTAACAATATTATGGGTAGAGTAAGAGTTATGGGTAGCTCCTGAAAATCCTTGTAAGCTATATTGAAGATTTGGACTTTCTGTAAAACAATTAGAAATTTAATAGTCATAAGCATGGGGAGAAATGTGATTAGATTTGTGTGTTAGAATGATTGCTCTGAGTGCCATATAGAGGCAAGAAGAAAAATCTGTGTTCTGCTTAGAAAGGAAGAGTGTTCTTAGCTGTCTTGGATTTCACTTGACTATTCAGGGAGTGCTGTTTATGCCTCATGATTTCATAGAGTCAGTTATAAAAGCAATCCCTTCAGTATTTCTCTATATCACAAGAGTCCTTGGGAGCTGGGAAATGGGGAAGCAAGATTTGAAATGTCTGTTATGTATCCAGCCCTTATCCTTATTCTACAGACACTCAGTGTCTTCCTTCACACAGCCTCACACTTTACACATTAATGCATGCAAATTGCCTGGACTGTGCTTCTCACTAATTTACCATACATATTTATGTATACTCAGATTCTAGTTTAAGTGTAAGCTGTGACCCAAAAGAAAGAGAAATCTTCCTGTGCTCATCTTTATTGATAAAAGTATACTTACAGACACAAGCATATATTGCCTAAAATTTATGAGAAAATGCATATCCATATGTTTTCTTTCCTTCAGATGTTTTGGGCTCCTACCTACTTGGTTTGGTAAATAATGGCCACATAAAAATTTTTAAAGATTTTTAAATTTTTTGTATATCCAGAGACAAATGGAAAAAGCACACAATTAGAAATAGGCATTTACCTGTTTTGTATCCCCTAGAAAGTGATACATAGGAAAAAAGGTACAAAAAATAAGAGCCACTTTCAAAACTAAATGTCCTCAAAAAGCCAGAATGTATTATGTATCAGGATGTAATTTTCTTGAAATATTTTCAGTAACTTTCTATTTTTAATGGAACAGAATGTATAAATAAATGTATGCTGAAAATGGAGTTTTAGCTGGGCACAGGCTCACGTCTATAATCCCTTGAGCCCGAGTCCAAGACCAGCCTGGGTAACATGGTAAAACCTCATCTCTACAAAAAAATACAAAAATTAGCTGGGCATGGCGGTGTGGGCCTATAGCCTTGGCTACTCAGCCTGAGGTGGGAGGATAACTTGAGCCTGGGAGGCAGACATTGTACTGAATCATGATTGTACCACCATACTCCAGCCTGGGCAACAGAGCAAGACCCTGTCAAAAAAAATATATAGACTTTTGATGTTGAAATCTATTGAATGTATCATAAAAAACATTTACATGTAGTAGAATCAATTAGAAAGTTCTAATTTGTATTTTATATCGTCAGGGTAAGTATTGCTATGTGAATACAGTTATATATGGGCTTATAATGTGAAATATTTTCTCACTATTTTTCGTGATTAAAACTCTGCAAAACTGACCAGGCGCAGTGGCTTATGCCCATAATCCCAGCACTTCGGAAGGCCCAGGTGGGCAGATCATGAGGTCAGGAGTTTGAGACCAACCTGGCCAACATGGTAAAACTCTGTCTCTATTAAAAATACAAAAATTAGCCAGGCGTGGTGGCACATGCCTGTAGTCCCAGCTACTCAGGAGACTGAGGCAGGAGAATTGCTTGAATCTAGAAGGCAGAAGTTGTGGTGAGCCAAGATCGTGCCACTGCACTCCGGCCTGGATGAGTTAACTTTGGATAAAAATGTAAAAACAATTATTTATAAAAGATAAAACTAAAAAAAGCTAAAAAAATTTTTGAGACTCTGTCTCAAAAAAAAACCTCTGAAAGTCAAAAATGAATTAAGAATGTAGAGGCTGGGTTTGGTGGCTCATGCCTGTAATCCCAGCTCTCTGGAAGGACAAGGTGTGCAGATCACTTGAGGTCAGGAGTTCAAGACCAGCCTGGCCAACATGGTGAAACTCTGTCTCCACCAAAAAATACAAAAATTAGCCGGGCTCGGTGTTGCATGCCTATAGTTCCAGCTACTCGGGAGGTTGAGGCAGGAGAATCACTTGAACCCAGGAGGCAGAGGTTGCAGTGAACCAAGATCCTGACACTGTACTCCAACCACATGGGCAACAGAGCAAGACCCCATCTCCAAAAAAAAAAATACAATGTAGAGCAAACAACAAATAATGAAATAGAAGTCACCCATGCTCTTGCCACTCTGAAATAGCCATTGTTAACATTTTGCTGTGCATTTATTCTTGTTTTTTCTTACGATTATATACACAGGATAAATATATTTTAAGCAATTTCTGGCTTTAGTAGGGTGGATTCTCCCTAGTGCACTTCGGTTATGTGACTCATGTTGTACATCATTTGCCTTTGGCATGGAATTCTTAGTTGTTGCCGTTTAAGTTTCACATAAAGAAATGTTCACAAATAAGTTTATGTGGCCCAAATATTCTAATCCTCTAAGAAATTGATCATTTGTTAGAAAAAATAGATCTTATTGTCTTTTAGGTGATTTTTCTTTTCCTTATTTTTTTTAGTAAGTTTAGGAAGAGTTGTTTTGACTTTCATATTATTACTAGTTTTATCTTTTATAAATAATTGTTTTTACATTTTTATGCAAAGTTAACCATTATGTTTTTGGACCACAGATCAGGGATTCTGATTCCGTCAGCTATTTTGTTTTTGTTTTAGCTATTATGTAGTTTTAGCTGTTATGTAGTTTATATTCTCTCTCCCTCCCACACCCAATTCCACTCTAGAGGAAATCACTTAATTTTTAATTGTTTCTGTTTTAAGGTCTTTTGGTGATTATTTCCATATTACTAAATATAGTTACACATTGCCTAGTGACTGGGATATGTTCTGAGAAATGCATCCATAGGTGATTTTGTTACGTACTTACACAGACCTGCATGGTGTAGCCTAACAAGGCTATATAGTAGAGCCTATTCCTCGTGGGCTAATAACCTGTACAGAATATTACTGTACTGAATTTTATAGGTAATTATAACGCAATGGGAAGTTTGTGTATCTAAACATAGAAAAGATACAGTAAAAATACAGTATAAAAGATCAAAAATGGTATCCCTGTGTAGGATACCTAACATGAACAGAGCTTTTAGGACTGGAAATTCCTCTGGAGTGAATGTGAAGGTGTGGGACATTACTATTACTGTAGACTTTATGATAAACACTATACCCTTAGGCTAACAGTATATTTTAAAAATTTTTCTTTTCAATAATAAGTTTATAAAGTAAAAAATTTACAGTAAATTAAGGGTTTTTTTAACTTTTTGACTCTTTTGAAATAACAATTTCAAGAGTTTAAAAACACAAACATGTAGCTATATGAAAATATTTTATTTATATGCTTATTCTATAAGCTTTCTTCTATTTGTAAAATTTTTAATTTTTCTTTTTTACTTTTTAAACTTTTCTGTTAAAAATGAAGACACAGGCTGTCCAAAGTGGCTCGTGCTTGTAATCCCAGCACTTTAGGAGGCCTAGGTGGATGCATCACATGAGGTCAGGAGTTTGAAACCAGCCTGGCCAACATGGTGAAACCTTGTCTCTACTGAAAAAAAATAGGAAAATTAGCCAGGCATGGTGGCACCTACCTCTGGTCCCAACTACTCCATAGTCTGAGGCAGGAGAATCACTTGAACCTGGGAGGTGGACACTGCAGTGAGCCGAGAGTGTGCCACTGCACTCCAGCCTAGGTGAGAGAGCAAGACTCGGTCTCAAAAAAAAAAAAAAAGAAGACACAAACATAGCCTAGGTCTACACAGGGTCAAGATCTTCAAGACGTTACTAGGCAATAGGAATTATTCAGCTCCATCATAATATTGTGGGACCACTGTAGTATACAAGATCCATCATTAACCAAAGTGTCGTTATGTGGCATATGACTATAGTTTATCTTTTAGCCACGATTTCTTGCTTTGTTAACTTTAAATATCATACTGATTACTGATTCTGTAAGAAATTAGCTCATTTATAGTTCTTCTCCCTCTTCTCCCTCAATGTTTTTATTAGTAGTAGTTTTTGGTTCTTCTGTTGGATGCCTTTGTAACTTTAATGTATGCATTTCTCATTCCATCAACACCAGTCAACATTTCTTAATCTCCCTCTTTGTATGATAAAGTATACCTTCTTCCTTTCACCCCGTTTCCTCGTAGTCATTTCTACTTTGACTTTTATGTTGTCAAGCTTGAAATCAGTTGCCAGCCTTTTATTCATTTCTCATTTTTTAACTTCTGAGTTTGTTTTTTGAGACTGAGTCTTGCTCTGTCACCTAGGCTGTAGTGCAGTAGCACAACCTTGGCTCACCGCATCCTCCGCCACCTGGGTTCAAGCGATTCCCCTGCCTCAGCCTCCTTAGCAGCTGAGACTACAGGCGCATGCCACCAGGCCCAGCTAACTTTTTTGTATTTTAGTAAAGACGGGGTTTCACCATGTTGGCCAGGATGATCTCGATCTCCTGACCTTGTGATCTGTCCGCCTTGGCCTCCCCAAAGTGCTGGGATTACAGGCGTGAGCCACCACACTCGGCCAACTTCTGAGTTTTTAAGTTAGATATTGGGGTGGGAAATAATTATATGTAGTCTACTATCTTGGACCCCCTAGTTTTTATTTTATAATAGTACTTTACTGTATGAGTTTCATGATATAAATATATTAAAATTGTTATTTAAACAAGAGAGTAGATACATCAGTTTGTAGAAAGTTTCTTCTTTGAAATCTCTATGATTTTTTACTTTGCAGGTACGAAAAACATTTTTCACCTTAGCATTTTGTGACTTTTGTCGAAAGCTGCTTTTCCAGGGTTTCCGCTGTCAAACGTGTGGTTATAAATTTCACCAGCGTTGTAGTACAGAGGTTCCACTGATGTGTGTTAATTATGACCAACTTGAGTAAGTAATCCAAAATATCTCTCTTCTGTCTACCATTTTACCCTTAAATTTTCTTAATGTGAAGCTATGATGTCTTAAAGTCTGTGAGGGTTTTTTTCTTCCATACAGTTGTTACAGATAATTTTTTTTTAAGTGTAGTTAGAAAATAATATGTAGAATGGCCAGTATTTCTCTCCCAAGTTGTAATTCTGGTTCAGGTATACAGTTAATTTATATTATATTAATTATATTTATTAATTAATTTATATTTATTTTATATTAGCTCTAATTTACATTTATTTACAGTTAATTTATATTTATATTATCTTTTAATTAATCAAGACCCCTAACCCATAGAAATCAGTTTTGGGTAGTTTCTAGGAGGAGGGGGAAGAGTTGTTTCAATTACATTAAGTGTTATGATTTTGTACCACAGATCAGGTGGTCTGATTCTGTTAGCTATTTGTAAATTACATTTATATTCTTGCTCTCTCTCTTTCATCCCCATTCAACTCTCTTCCCCTGATTTAAGATATAAAATTTTTATATCCAGTATATATCTCTTTGTAAAATTTCTCTTTGCTGTATGCCAGTTTTTCTGATAGATTAGATTTGAGTCTATTATAATCTCTTTTTGTGTCATTGTTGCTGCTGCAGCTAAAGTCTTACTTTCCTTGATCACTTGAGCAAATAAAACTTAACTCTTTAAGTAAATCATAACGTCACCTAATTTACAGTACATAGTTTTTCTTCTCATTCTTTAACCATAAAGCCTGATTTTCATCTTGTAATATATAGAAATTTGCTGAATAGAATGATTAGTTTTAGGTTATGAGTATGCCCTTGAAAGTGCAATATAATTTTTTTTAAATAAGCCTTTAGACAGAAATCCAACTAATTGAATTTTAACAGACGTTTCTGAGAATGGAATTTGATCTCAGGTTTTTCTGTTAACTCTGTGTTTTGGTATATGAAGTTTCTGGGTTTTGCACAAGTTAGGTTTGTTTTGTTTTGTTTTGTTTTGCCTCACAGTTTGCTGTTTGTCTCCAAGTTCTTTGAACACCACCCTATACCACAGGAAGAGCCTTCCTTAGCAGAGACTGCTCTTACATCTGGATCATCCCCTTCTGCACCCCCCTCAGACTCTATTGGGTATGATTTGACTTCTGCTCTTCAGTGATATGCTACTTGAACTGCTTTCTTTTGGATCTCCTGGTTAACTAGAAACCTTTCTAACATTTAATGGTTAAATTAAGGATTTTTTCCCCAAATAACTTATTTTATCACACCAATAAGATATTTACGTGCATTTGGTACAAATAAATGGGATTAAAGCTGACATAGACTATTTTAGAACCAGTCCTGAAAAAAATCAAGCAGCAGATAATTTTGAGTCTACACCTTGAATTCATCTTTTATTAAGTACTGAAGTATATGACTTCGACCTATGAAGAAGCACCGACATATGAGACAATGGCTAACAATGTAAAAATAGTATATAATTATAATCTATTTATGATGGAGTTTATTAAACAGTGATGAGGACATAAATGTTTTCATGTTTACAGAAGGAAGAATAGTGAGAAAAAGAGAGTGCTCAGGAAAACTTAATGAAGAAGGTGGGATTTGAACTAGACTTTAAAGAATTACTACCATCTGAATGGGCCTAGGGAATAGAAGCATGGTGAGAGGGGAATGGAGAAACAACATATATAAAGGAAATGAGGATGTTAAGTTTAGGAGCTAGTGAAGAAAGGTTTATCTAATTTAAGAAGTACCATGTGTAAAACCAGATTATAGAGCTTCTTGGAATTGAGGCTGGAATTTAGACTTAAATGTCGTTAAGTAGATTACTAACTTGATGAAAATGGTTTTAAAGAAAAAAGCAATTAGTGATGAAATACAGATGGATTGACAGAAAATTTGGGGTGAGGAAGGCCAACCTAGGATGTTGTTGGTAGCGAAGACTGAGAGAGGCATGAAGACGAGTTCAAGTGGTAGAAGTGTGGAAAAGGGATGGATATTCATAAATATAATGAAAGAAAAAAATTAGTGGTATTATTAATCAGTTGTGGAGGATAAATTTGAGAACTGACTTTAAAAATAATGCAAGCACATCATATATTTAAGCTTTATGGTAGGAAATAAAAAGGAAGACGCAATAAAGACGAGTTAAGTGGATGTCAGTTTGCTTCGGAACATTTCTCCACCTCCTGGCCTCAGGTGATCTTCCTGCCTCATCCTCCCAAAGTGCTAGAATTATAGGTGTGAGACACTGCATCTAACTAGCTTTGGAACATTTCTGACACAGGTTTGCTTACTCTTTCATATTGGATTTGGGGCAGTATTATTTAGTCTGTGTCTGGAAGTATATGCTTAAAAAGAAAGAGAGAAAAAAAATACCCACATACAGCGTTCCTGAGATGTTAAGATTAGAAATATTTATTATCAGGTTTAACCCTGCTTCCTCCCACTCTACACTATGTAATGCTATTTCTTTAGATTTCTATCTAGAGAAATTTTTTCAAAATCAGTTGACGTTTTTAGTACAACTTTGTAATTTTTACAAAGCCAACCTTTCTGGTGATCTCATAGGTTAGAAAAGCTTGCAAAAGAATTGTATATTAAGCAGTGGGTGTTCTTACCTATTTGGAACACTGGAAAATGCAGCCCTTGTGTTCTCTTGTCAGGTTGTAGCAGTTCTCTATTCTGATGGAGTAATTTTATTCCTGTTGGTTCTATCATTACTTGTGTGCAGCTGTGTGTTTTACATGGTCAAATCAAAATGTCCTTATTGTTTGTTTTGGTTTTTAATTAATCTTTTGGTTATAACATTTTCTCCTGACAGATGCTATAGACCATGATGCCTTTCTAATGGCAGGTCCCAGTTCTGTGAGCAGTTATAAAACACTATAATGAAATTAGCTTGGCCTCTCTGAAGGTTTATAATGGTGTAATGATCGAGGACATTTGCCTTCCAGTGAAGGAATGCTATCTTAAAATTAAGAAACCATTTGCCTGTGCCATGAATATTTTATTGGTAACTGAACTGAAATCAATTCTGATCTTGAGCAAATGATAAGATATTCAAACTTGTCTATAATTCATTTTCCTGATATTTTTATGACATAACTGTATATGGTTGTCTCTATAAAGATAGAAGCCAATCTTGATCAGTATCAAAACTCTTTGGCAGTTTGTTACTAGTCCTGATAACAATAATAATGGTCATGAAACAAGTGTAATAATGGATGTAATCAAGAAATACTGGAGAAGTGATACATTGCCTAGTTTTGAATACAAAATGAGAGATACCTCCTTTTCTACTTTTTAAAAATACTGTAGAATGTATAAATTTATGAAAAGTCAGCATTTAAAATGTGCATATCACCTAACCAAAGTTTTCAAAACTTTTAAATATTATAGTTAAGAATGAGATCTAAACTAATTGGTAATTTGCTGAAGGGTATTAGAATTTAAGTTTCTTTTATCTTTAATTTGCTACCGTTTTAAAGAGGTTTGCTGCAAGATAGGCACAGGTATAACTGGGAAAAAGCCAGTTTGCTGACTGCCAAGATACTTCATAGGTATAAGTTACCTTGGTTAATGGAAAGATTTCCCAGTATAGTAACGTAATTTTATCAATTACCAGAAATGATGAAAATAGGAGTTATACTGGTTTATATTAACCAAAATAAGAAAAATAAACAAATCAGGATGCCAGGTAGTATTTTTCACTCTTCTTTTGGAAGAGATTTATGGGAAATCAAATTATAATCAGAAGACTGTTTTCCTTAGGCATACATAGAGTTAGGACATGGTTCAGATATTTAATGACATCAGGTCATGATCACTTCAAATGTTCCCCTGTACTTGCCCTCAAAGCTAGACAAGTTGACTTGGTGGACCAAGGCACAACTATTAGATACCAACTACCAAGCTGAGTTTCTCTGAATTTGTGTCATACACAGATACCCTCATTTTGTAATATATGCATTCTTTAGATATGATAATGAAGTCTGTCAGATTAAATCAGGTTTTTGTTTTTCTTCTGGACCAATGTCCTTTGCATACGTATTTCTGATTTGTTATCTACTACTTGTTTCTGTCATATTCCTAACTTGATAAGTTTCAGAAATGACTTACCTCCATCTCTGCCTATACCAGATTAATTATACAGTTCTAGTTAATTAACATTTTTTCCAATTTTAAGCCTTTTTTTTTTTTTTTTTTTTTTTTTTTGAGATGGGAGCCTCCCTTTGTCACCCAGGCAAGTGCAGAGACATGATCTTAGCTCACTGCAACCTCTGCCTCCTGGGTTCAAGTGATTCTTGTGCCTCAGCCTCCTGAGTAGTTGGGATTACAGGCCCTCACCACCACACCCCGCTATTTTTTGTATTTTTTTGTAGAGACGGGGTTTCGCCATGTTGGCCAGGCTAATCTCAAACTCCTGACCCCAGGTAATCCACCTGCTTCGGCCTCCAAAAGTGCTGGGATTACAGGCAGGAGCCACCGTACCCGGACTGCCTTGAGACTTTAAATCAGCCTGTAAATAGTTGTCTGACAGTCAGTGAGTGCCCTTTCTAAAATTTTATTGACTAATGTCATTTTTGCACTCTTTTTTCTGCTAAAATTTTCTAGCAATAGACATATCTTTGACTGCCTAAAGCAAAAATAAAGACAGCTCTGTCACAAACCCAAAATTTCTCAATAATCAGAAAAAATAAAAAGGACGTAGGTGGAACATGCAAATTTTCCTAAAGGCGTGTTCCTTCCCTGTAATTCTCATTGAGCCGATACCAATTTTTTTTTAAGTACATACTATTTTATTATTTGCATATCAATTCTAAGCAGATTCATTTCATTAATATAAACACATGAAGTCAAAACTTCTTTCCCCATCTTTAATAATGTGCTTCAAAGAAGTAAAATTGTGAACTGGTGTGATTCAGATTCTGGCATGTTTTATTCAGAGGCTGACTTTCACTATTTGGCTTCTTTTGCTCTTCAAACCTTTATCCATTCCTTTCCTGCTATATTTTTTTTCCCACTCCTCTTCTCTCACAGTGTCTTTTTATTCCCTCAACATTGTCCTTCCAGCTGTGTCACTAAATAATGCTGTATATCATAATAATTAGAGCATTTGCATAAAATGGGGTGGAATAATAGCCAGTGTGTGAAGAGAGTTTATTAGCACTTAGCCATTCATTGGTCCTGATGGAGTTAAGTGAGACAGCTTACCTCATCTGTCAAGTGACACTCACTTCCCCACTCCTAAGATACCCTTTTTGAGGGGCTAGAATCCTTCCAAGTGTTTACAATCTATTCTCAAAACTTTAGTGTTCTCTGTGAATGCCAGGTTTATTTTAGGGTAAGATATCATAGGCTATGTTATTTAGCTACCATACCGAAATAGGTCACCCTGTAACATATTTTGGCGGGTTTTCAAATAGCAGTTTTTAAAAGTGTTTGCTTTAATTGTTAATGTGTGATTCTCTTGTGCCTCTGGTATCAGTAATGTACATGATAAAAATCCAGAATATGAGAGATATTGGCACTCTGAGGATCATCTTCCGAATTCAGAAAGGATTTTTCAATATTGTTCTGGATTTTCACTCAACTCCTGTAAAGGAACAAGTACATTATTCAGGTCCTGAAACATGCATGTGTGTTCTCAAAATATTTATAATTTCTTAATATGTAAAATTTTCACTTTAGTAAATTCAGATGTCAAGACAAAGTTAGAAAAAAATGGCAAATTATATTCAGTCAGTCTCAGAGCATTTTTATATAACTTAATGAACTTCTTCAGTTGACAGCCACAGGTAATTTCTAGCCATTTATAAATTTCCCTAGTGTTTTCTGGGTAAGAATCAGTGTTCTTATCATTAATAGTTCCTGGAGGGTCTGCTTGAGGAAAGCAGCTTTGGCAGTCTTAGTTGAGGCATGTATTGGATTTTTAAATTAGCACTTTTAAAAGTCATTACTGCTAGGTTTTTAATGCTTTAACGATTTTGAGAATATAAAAACAAGAATATCCTTTTATCTTCCTTTTTAAATATTATTACCTTTATATAGTTACTCTGAATCTTATCTTCCAATGACTTCCTTTTTCCAGGCCCCAAATTCTCACCAGTCCATCTCCTTCAAAATCCATTCCAATTCCACAGCCCTTCCGACCAGCAGATGAAGATCATCGAAATCAGTTTGGGCAACGAGACCGGTCCTCATCAGCTCCCAATGTGCATATAAACACAATAGAACCTGTCAATATTGATGTAAGTATCCAGCATTGTAGAACTAAAAATCAAGTACATATGTTTATTTTTCTGCTATAATTATGACTGAGATCAAAAATTAGTGCCATTTTTCGTTTATCACGTTTATTTTAAGTGATAAGCTTCTTGTGAATCACAAATCAGAAAAGCCTTCTGTTATCTCTGATGGCATTAAATACTTTACTGGCACCAAGTTATAGAATTACTCTGATTTTTTTTGCCTTATGATATCATCTCTGTAAAAGTCATCTTCAAATGAAAATGGTTTAAATATCACAGGACTGATAGAAGCCCTTGGTGAAATTGATAAAGTCCTTTAAAACTTTTATAAAAATGATTTTGATTGTGCTATAAGAGATGAATATGAAATTAAGAATTTCAGGCCAGGCATGGTGGCTCATTCCTGTAATCCCAACACTTTGGGGGAGGCCAAGATGAGAGGAATGCTTGACCCAGAAGTTAAGAGACCAGCCTGGGCAACATAGTGAGGCCCCATGTCTACCCAAAAAAAAGAAAATTAGCCATTCATGATGAGGCATGCCTGTAGTCCCAGCTACTCAGGAGGCTGAGGTGGGAGGATTTCTTGAGCCCAGGAGGTCAATGTTGCAGTGAGCTGTGAGTGTACCATTGCACTCCAGCCTGAGCGACAGAGTGAGACCTGTCTCAAAAAAAAAAAGAATTTCAATCTGTGCTATAAGCTTGGCATTATGACCAACAAAAACTTGATTTTTTCTGTGTTTATTTTTAAATTAGCATATAGTTGGAACTATAAATTTTATTAAATATTAATATAAAAGAAAAACTATTATAAAATTTTTGTTATGTAAAATATATTTGCAAATCAGACTTTCTTCTCACTTTTTACTAAGAAACTTTTCTCTATTTTTATTGGGTTCATTTTAAGTACTTTTTTCCAGTACTAGTTTAACTCAACTAGTAAGGTTTACCTCTAGCAAGACCTAAAAACAAAGGAAGAAAGGAGTAGAAGAGGAAAATACATGGGGAAAAGGAGAGTGTGAAATAAGAAATCAAACCATATGTCCGGGTTAGGGCTTTTCTCAGTCTGTCCAAAATGCAACCTTCATTTTTACTTTGAAAACTATCATCCTTTTAGACTATTCCCTTTTTCTCTGATTGTTACCACTGTTCCCTGCTCTGTTGGGCTTCATTTGGAGTGTCATCTTTATATCTTGCCTTTTCATCCTCTCCCATAACCAATCATAAGATACCACCTTTTTATGTGCATCTCAAACTGGCTTTTACTTATTACTGCCACCATTTGGAACCATATTTTTTCACTTGAATTATATACTACATTAATGTCCTAAATGGATTTTCTGCTGTTGATTTCTCTCTATCCATTTCCAATCTTTCTGCTACTGTCAGAATAATTTTTTTTACACCTCTAGCATCATTTTTTCTCTTGTTCCAAAACTTTCAGTGACTTACCATTGATTACAAGATAAGAGTTGAAACTGTAGCATTTTCATTCATGCTCAGTCACTTATTATTCCATTAAAAAGATTTACTAATAACTCTGGGCTATGCATTGTGTTAGGCAATTGGGAATTATTTATGAATTAGCACACAGCCTTTGCCCTCAAGGGAGTCACAATCTAATAGTTGAATCAAACATTTAAATAGATAATTACAAAACATATAAAGTCAGTTTAGAGAAGGGTGTAAGAAACTCTTATCTGGTTGGACCTAGAAATATGGAGCAGAGAAGGAACAACATTTAAGCCAGATTATGATGAATAAGTAAGAGTACAGTAGATAGGGGAGTTAGGAAAGTCATTTGTTAAGGAAATAGTATGTGCAAAGGCATTGAAGTACCTTTACATGGAATGTAATTAATAGTTGATACTAAAGTGTTAGGTTCGGGTGAAGGCTTGGGGAATGGTGGAAGGTGAAACTAGGTAGGTAAAATCTACAGTGAAAGGCTTCGTGTGTTACTCTAAAATCTCTAAAGTAGTGCTAGGGAATCTGAAAAATGTTGTGTGAGAGAAAATAATCAGCTCTATATTCTAGAAAAATCTTTGATGGTAGTGTGGAGGATAGATAAAACGGAAAACATAGAGGCAGAACTGTCAATAATGTGGCTTTTGCAGTATTTCAGACAAGAAAAGATAATGGTTTAAACTCAAGTAATGGCATTGGGTGCTGAGAGAGAATGTTGGGGGAAGGGAGACTATGAATTAATGAATTAGTGGTAAGAGTCTTAGGAATCATGTTGAAGATGGCTACAGTTGATGAGTACTTATTGTATGTCAGGTACTATGCTGAGTGCTTTACATAGACTTTGTTATTCCATCCTCATAAAAACTCATAGGTTATGTACTATTATCTTTATTTTACTGTTAAGAAAATTAGATTTACAGAGGTTAAGAAATACGCCCAAGATTACACTGCTGATAAATTATTGAAGTGGGTTTCAAACCTGGCCTTTCTTTCGTAACTACTATACTGTTCTGTAGTAGAGGAGAGGAGTGAAAAACACGAGAAGTAGAGGATAATACCAGGTTTCTGGCTTATAGATACTTAACTTATAGACCAGGTTTCTGGTAAATAGCACCATTTGTTAAGATAGAAAATGCTACAGGAAAACAAGGTTTGCAGAAGCAAAAATTTTAGCTTTTTGAGGGGATATGTTGACTTTAAGATGCCTGTGGGACTTTCAGGTTTAGAAATCTAGTAGCAGTTGGATATAAGAATTTTGAGTAGAGATACAGATTTAGGAGTAATTAGCATGTTTATGTCCGTTAAAGCCTTGGATGTAAATTTCTCAAAGAGCATACGTAAATTGAAAAGGGGAGAAAATGCAACCCTGATGAACATTAACATTGGAGGTGCAGGCAGAGACTCTCTGTCTCCTTTATGGCCTGGCTCTTCCTAAATCGACAGCTCCAGGTAACTAAGAAAAAGTTTTGCAGAAGCCAAAGGGAGAAAAGGGATTTCAAGAATACTGAAGTAGTTGGTAACAGTCACCATTAAGATTCAAATGAGTCAAGAGATGGTGACCATCCTGGCCAACATGGTAAAACCCCGTCTCTACTGAAAATACAAAAATTAGCCGGGTATGGTGGCCTGTGCCTGTAGTCTCAGCTACTCAGGAAGCTGAGGCAGGAGAATTGCTTGAACCCCGGAGACAGAGATTGCAGTGAGCCGAGATAGTGTCATGGCACTGTAGCCTGGCAACAGAGCCAGACTCCGTCTCAAAAAAATAAAAAAAGAAAAGATTCAAATGAAATAAAGACTAAAATCACTATTAAGTTTGGCAATTGAAGTGTCATCTTTACTTCACTGAGAGCTGTTTTAGAGGACCAGTAAGAGGAGAAAGCAGCAAGTGAAGAAGTAGAATTAAGTGTTAATTTTGAGAAGCTTGGCTGTAAAGGAGTGACAGAAGAGGATAACTTGATGCAGGGTTGAGGTACAATTTTTTTTTTTTTGCTGTTTTTTGGTTTTGTTTTTTGTTTGTCTGTTTGTTTGTTGTTTGAGACAGAGTCTCGCTCTGTCACTCAGGCTAAAATGCAGTGATACAGTCTCTGCTCACTGCAACCTCCACCTCCCAGGTTCAAGCAGTTCTCCTGCCTCAACCTCCAAGTAGCTGGGATGACAGGCTCCTGCCATTACGCCTAGCTAATTTTTTTTTTTTTTTTTAAATGGAGTTTTGCTTTTGTTGCAATGACACGATCTCGGCTTACTGCAATCTCCACCATGCTGGTTCAAGCAATTCTCCTGCCTCAGCCTCCCCAGTAGCTGGGATTACAAGCGTACACCACCACACCCAGCTGATTTTGCATTTTTGGTAGAGACAGGGTTTCTCCATGTTGGTCAGGCTGGTCTTAAACTCCTGACCTCAGGTGATCCACCCGCCTCAGCCTCCCAAAGTACTGGGATTGCTGATGTGAACCACCACACCCAGCCAATTTTTGTATTTTTAGTAGGGACAGAGTTTTGCCATGTTGGCCAGGCTGGTCCTGAACTCTTGACCTCAAGTGATTCACCAGCCTCAGCCTCCCAAAGTGTTGGGATTATAGGCGTGAGCCACTGCGCCCAGCCAAGGAATAGTTGTTTTTAATGTAAGAGACATTAGTTTATATTGCAACTGGAGAGGAAAAAGCCAGTGAAGAGAAGTTGAAGATAACAAAAGAAAGAATAATTGATGTAATAAAATTCCTTGAACTTGGAAATTCTCTCAGAGACTGTGAAGAATTAAAGATGGGCCGGGCGCGGTGGCTCAAGCCTGTAATCCCAGCACTTTGGGAGGCCGAGGCGGGTGGATCACGAGGTCAAGAGATCGAGACCATCCTGGTCAACATGGTGAAACCCCGTCTCTACTAAAAATACAAAAACATTAGCTGGGCATGGTGGCGCGTGCCTGTAGTCCCAGCTACTCAGGAGGCTGAGGCAGGAGAATTGCCTGAACCTGGGAGGCGGAGGTTGCGGTGAGCCGAGATCGTGCCATTGCACTCCAGACTGGGTAATAAGAGCGAAACTCCGTCTCAAAAAAAAAAAAAAAAAAAAAAAGAATTAAAGATGGACATAGCTTGCTTGCTCTGTAACTGTTTAAAGACTGTATGATGTTAGTCAAATTATTTAACACTGGGGCTAGTAGTGTCTACCTTCTATACTGGTTTGAATTGCTTATGCCTGGTATATAATAAGAATCCAGAAATTATAACTAATATTAATATGTAAATATAGATGTTAGAGTAGGAAAGTTGTTTGATGGCTTCTGTTTTCTCTATTATGATGAAGGGAAGGGATATAAGTAAGAGAAGGAACTACAAAAGAGTGGAAAAAAAGTTTGAAATATCCAGTTTTCAAATGCTAAAAGAACTTTCGTAACCTAGAATGAGTAGAAAAGATTGTCAAGGGGCTTTAAGAACACATTCGAAATTGAAGAATCTTAAGTTTGTCTTGTTACCAGCGGTAACTTATGAGAGTGGAGAAAGCAAAATTTTGTTAATCCATACTTGTAGGGAATTTCAGAGCTGATACAACAACAAAGAAAGGGATATGGCCTTTCTCCTGTAATTCCTTCCATCTAAGACTGCTTTGCCTTTCTACATGCCTATCTGTCTCTCAAACCCCAAGTCAGAGTAATTCTTTGACTGCTTTACTAGTGACCAAGTCCTATAGTTATCATACATAGCCCTAAAAATCTTATCACCCATATCACTTAGTTGCTAATCAACTAAGCAACAAACTTTGGCATCTCTTTTATTGTATTCTTATGCAGTTATTCTTAAATTATTTGATTTTCACTTCCATCTTCCATTGTGTGCATCTTACTTCCAATGAGATTGTAAACTCTCAAGAATGGAAAATTTAATGACATCACTAGGATTTTTATTTGTTGGTAACCACATAACTCCTACCACCTTGTTTTCAGGTATGTATTTGATTATTCTGTAGAAAATGTTGAAGGCTTTATGTGATACATTGAGCATAATAGAAATAAATCTTTAAGGAATTTGCTTTAGCCTCTAAACAAAAAGTTGTCTATTTGCAAAGACTACTTAGAGACATTTGGGGCCATTCAATCCCTCATATTTAAGTTAAACTAAATAAACAGGCTAATGCAAGTTCTACCTATCAAGGCCCAAATTGCATTACCAGTAGAGACTGCCCCTGCTACCAACATTGTTATAAAGAGATATATATATATTTTTAATATATATTATATAAATAATTATATATTAAATATATATTTATATACTATATATAAATATATATAGTATATATACATATATATATATATATATAATTTTTTTTTCCCCCCGTGACAGAGTCTTGCTCTGTCACCCAGGCTGCAGTACAGCGGCACAATCTCAGCTCACTGCAACCTCTGTCTCCTGGGTTCAAGCAATTCTCCTGCCTTTGCCTCCTGAGTAGCTAGGATTACAGGCATTTGCCACCATACCTAGCTAATTTAGCTAATTTTTGCATTTTTGGTAGAGATGGTTTTCACCATGTTGGCCAGGCTGGTCTCAAACTCCTGACCTCGTGATCTGCCCGCCTCCCATAGTGCTGGGATTACAGGCATGAGCCACCATGCCTGGCCCATAAAGAGCTATATTTTAATAATAAAGACAAATTTTAGTGACCAGGCACAGTGGCCCATGCCTGTAATCCCAGGACTTTGGAAGGCTAAGGTAGATAGATCACCTGAGGTCAGGAGTTCGAGACCAGCCTGGCCAACATGGTGAAACCCCGTCTCTACAAAAAATACAAAAATTAGCCGGGCATGGTGGCATGTGCCTGTAGTTTGCAGGTACTCATGGCACTAAGGCAGGAGGATCACTTGAACTTAGGAGGCTGAGGTTGCAGCAAGCCAACATCATGTCACTGTACTGCAGCCTGGGCAATAGAGCCACTCAGTCAAAAAAAAGAACAAACTTAAGGACTCATGAAGCCAAAGTTCAGGGGTACATGTGCAGGATGTGCAGGTTTGTTACATAGGTCAATGTGGGCCACGGCAGTTTGCTGCACAGATCATTCCATTACCTAGGTATGAAGCACAGCATCCATTAGCTATTCTTTCTGATGCTGTTGCTCCTTTCACCACCCACCTTCCGACAGGCCCCAGTGTGTGTTGTTCCCCTCAACATGTCCAAATGTTCTCATCATTCAGCTCCCACTTAAAGTGAGAAACGTGGTATTTGGTTTTCTGCTCCTGCATTAGTTTGCTGAGGATAATGGAAGCCATTGGTTTTGAATGGCCTGAAATGGATTTCAAGATTTGATTAGGACTAATAATTCTTTCATTATAGATTTAAATTGGCAAGTGCTTCAAAATTTAGATTTTATGTTTACTAGGTAAGTCCAGATTGTTTTATGTACTAGTTATAAGACATGTTGTTGTAATTATTAAAATAATTCTGTTAATGTTAGTGGAAAATTCAGTGTTACCACTACCTTCTGACTATATGCTTTGAATAAATACACATTACTGTTTATTTGTAGGACTTGATTAGAGACCAAGGATTTCGTGGTGATGGAGGTAAGTAGTAATTTCAGTTTTCTTTTAAAAGTCGGGGAAAAATGCAATTGCTTTGTTGCTTATCTCCTTTATACTTGCCTCTTTCATGAAACACAGACACAGAGAAAAATGTGTAGAGAAACCCAAAATTTTTTTGTTTTTCTATAGTATTTGTCATTTATCTTTAATAAAATGTTAACTGATTTATAACATGAGTAGAGAAGATGGACATAAAAGGAAGTCTTAAGTGTACTATCTACATTTTAAAATATCTTCTGATCTCAGACAAGATTGGGTACCCTCAGGATGGTACGGCCATAGTCTACAGTTTTAAAATATCTTACCAAGGAGAGATCCTTCTAACCATCTCCAAAGGTATTGTTGATAAATTTCCTTTGTGAGGCTCCACTGATACTTAAAGACTGAGCTTAGAATCAGATAAAACTTTACTTTGCTAAGTCATTCTGAAGAGGGGTTTGTGAGACATTATCAACCACTTCCTTTCAACTTTCTGGAAGTGTTTTAAATGTACATTTTATAGAACAGATCCATAATGGCAAAGCCCATTTGCCCTCTTATAAGAGGTGATAATTTGAGACTATCTTGAAGTTTTCTTAGGAGGTCCTTTATACTTACCTTATCTGCTGTCTTCTGTCTAGTAAGGAAGACATGTAATAACTGCTTATCATGCTTAGAGTTGATCTCTTAACTGTAACCTTCTTTATCTTCAAAATATCTAAGCCCAGACTAAACAATATTTTATATTGAGTAAACATTGTTATAAACCTTCTTTTGTTATGTTTCTGTATACCCGTGAAGCAACCAAAATAATAATAAGCCTGCATTCTATGCTCTGGACTTGGTATTGATGATAGCACATAGTTACACAGCTTTTTTTTTCCTGTTTGTTTTTTCATGAACCTGCCAATTAATGTTGCTGCCAGTTTGACTTTCATATGTCTTAATAGCTGTGGCTTTTGATAATTTTGCCTCCTAATACATCCAGCATTTAAATGTTGCCATCATGTTAGCATCACAAAATTAACTTAGTCCTAAACACAGCCTGCTTAGTACCTAAAATCAAGTGGCATTTCTTGTCCTTTTCATGAGTCACTTTAAAAAAAAAAATCATTGGGATTTTGTGAAAATGAGCAGATTTTTTTGGTCCAGAATTATTTTATGAAGCAGGCTTCGATTCATCTTGTTTATTCCCCATGACTTCTTTCATTTCTTCTGTGTGTCTGTCTTCCTGTGTTTGCCTGCCCCTCTCTTTCTCTTCTAACAGCCCCTTTGAACCAGCTGATGCGCTGTCTTCGGAAATACCAATCCCGGACTCCCAGTCCCCTCCTACATTCTGTCCCCAGTGAAATAGTGTTTGATTTTGAGCCTGGCCCAGTGTTCAGAGGTAGTTGGGCTCTTCTTTCTTGTTTTCACCCAAAGCAAACTAAATATAAAACTACAGATGCTTTTTGTGCCTCACCCTCACAGCGTGTGTTTGTAAGTGTGAAAGTTTTCAGTACTAAATTTCTGCTTGGCCTGGCTGGAATGCTCTGAATGTGCTTCTCACACATACTCACTGCCACAAGCTTTCTGTATGCTGTCTGTCATAAATTTTTTAAAACAAGAAAATACTGACCTGAGATTTCCATCTTGTTTTTTGTTATTTTATTACTTCTTGGTCTTGATAATTTCTTAAACTTAGTGGGTGGGAATAAATAAGGTGGGTGGGGAAGATCTTACTGGATTCCTTTGATTTTAATGCATTTAAGTGATTATTCTTGATGACTTAATATTTGTTAATAATTTTTGTGGTTTTTAAAAAAATTAAAATGTCAATGGAAACTTCTATTATGAGATTTTATTAGGCTTTTGGCCTTTTTTGAGATTCTGTAATACCAGCAGTGTTTTTTGGGTTTTTCTTTCCCCCAATATGGGATGTGTATATTTTTGTCAAAGCTGTTAAAAAAAAAAAAAAAAAAAAAAAAAAAAGTTTATAACATATTTTAGATATTTTGGTATACTTCAGAAATTTGAGGATTTATCCTTTAATTATGTCCTAATAGAAGAAAGTTTACGGTATAATTTCATTCTCCCATTTCATCTTGCCATGTTTTATTTAGTGGTTAAACTGATTTATAAAAACTTAAGTCAGGCCGGGCGCAGTGACTCACACCCATAATCCTAGCACTTTGGGAGGCCGAGGCGGGCAGATCACCTGAGGTCAGGAGTTCAAGACCAGCCTGACCCACATGGTGAAACCCCATCTCTACAAAAATACAAAAAAAAAAAAAAATTAGCTGGTCATGGTGGTGGGTGCCTGTAATCCCAGCTCCTTGGGAGGCTGAGGCTGGAGAATTGCTTGAACCTGGGAGGCAGAGGTTGCAGTGAGCCGAGATTGCACCACTGCACTCCAGCCTGGTGACCTAGCGAGACTCTGTCTCAAAAAAAAAAAACAAAAACCTAAGTCAAAATTGGGACAAATGTCTTCCTATAAATATTTTTAAAGATTTATAATTACTGACTCTTGCTAGCTAGTATCTGTTATTTATTCTGAATGTAGTAATGATGCCTTAGATTTTTGCTCTCTCAGCCGTGCTGTTTCTCAGAAAATCCATAGAATGGGATGGAAGTCATACAGTAGTGAGTAATACAATTAAATTAAGTAATACAATAAAACTACCTAGTAGATCATAACTGTGAAGCCTCATAAGGCTTTATAATGTTGAAAATTATCAATGGAAGGTAGAAAATGGGTTGTGTTCTACTTAATAGATATTCTGGGTACCATTCAGAAAATTGCATATGAGATCATGAAAATTCCACATGGTGATACAATATGATGTAATAATGGTAAAAAATTTTCTACAGATTTAACATTTAAATGTGGTTATTGGTACCCTTGTTAGCTGAAAGATAGAAGATAGTAGCCCTTTTTTTCCTTAAGAGTAGCAATTATTTTTTAAAAACATTTTCTTGAGGTCATTTTGTTGTTCTGTGTATAGAACGATTACCTGGACATCTCAGTCCTACTCAGCTGTACTCAGGCCTCAGTAAGAGTCAGTGTCCTGAACCAGGTGCTACTACTGTATACCTTAACTAAGGATGTTTGCCATGAGAAAGGTATGCAACCCTGCCAACTGAGATCACTTCCAAAGAGTATACTCCTCAGGCTCACTCAACCTGTAGAATATTTGTATTTATAGTAACTTGGCTGAGAGGCTATAGCACTTACTTACAAAGCTCTCACTTACAAAGGCAGAGATTTTTCAGAAAGTCTTGAGAAATATGCTTGGCCTTATTTACGTTAACTTTGTTTTGTAGGTAACAAATAATCTTTGTTTAATAGTGTAAGCCTCCAGGAACCAATGATACTGACCAGTATCTCTTAAATAGTAGAGCACGTAGTTTAGGATTGTATTTGAATTTAGTGGTTCATGAATAAGCCAGATATTTTCAACATTATGGCCATTATTAGAAAATGTTTTCATTTGGGTTTCGGTTTTTTTAATATTGATTGGCTGTTGAGGTAATATTAAATAATTAATTTAAAGTTTATTTATGTAGGTTTTTACATTGATTTTGCTTTTTTATTTTTTTAATCAAAGAAACTTGGGAGGCTTTTTTTGGTATTTTTCTCTTGTTTTAGAGAGACTGTTTTTCTCCTAGACTTTGTACCAGTAAACAAAGTATGTGTCTATCATCAGATATCTTAAAGGTCATTAAATTGGCCAGAAAACTAAAAGAAATTATAGTTCTAATCACCAGATGAGATCCCATTTTGGCCTATCCTTTCCAAAAGGTCTATATTTAAACATGCAGTAGAATTTAAAATTAAGTCTAAATATCCCCCACCTTCTGCCCCTTATAAATTAACATACTTGCTCCTCCTCAATGGATACATTTTTCTTTTCACTAATTTAGGATCAACCACAGGTTTGTCTGCCACACCTCCTGCCTCATTACCTGGCTCACTCACTAACGTGAAAGCCTTACAGAAATCTCCAGGACCTCAGCGAGAAAGGAAGTCATCTTCATCCTCAGAAGACAGGAATCGAATGGTGAGAGTATATGATATCTTTTTTTCTCTAAGTTCTTTCTTCTTAGAAGTCATAGCCAAATGTAATATTATCCTTTAGATATGTTATGTCCATATGTGACACAGAATTCCCATAATCAAATAAATTTAAAAGCTGATAGTTTTTTGCTTAAAGCATATTTCCACAGGACTGCTTTTTGCTCTCATCTGTAATATAATTTAGTAAAAGACAGTTTTGGAAGAGTAATAGTAGTGTTGTTAGAGAGAAAGCTAGTATTAGAAGGCATGAAAAAGCTACACCAGAATTCAGATATCTACTGAAAGACATTCTTCCCTTCTGCTGCAAAATGAATTCACCATGGCACATGTACACCTGTGTAACAGACCTGCATGTTCTGCACGTGTATCCCAGAATTTAAAGTAAAATAAAAAATAAAATTTAAAAATGAATAGTTTTTAGCCACAGTATTGCTACTAATTGTTGAATAAGTGGATCTTTTAGCCTACCAAAGTAATTTTATAGGTTGATTTTTTTTTTATAAAGACTGAATTAAATAAGACACATGAAGATGTTTAGCACGGATTGAAAAAGAGTACTTAGATAAATTGTGAATAGTTACCATAGGTTAACTTAAATTTTTTGTGATTTGGAATCAAAACTATTTACAAATGTAGCAGCACTTAACTTGCTCCTTAAGGTCTTCCAGATGATAAAAACATTTTACTTATTTCAGTAATATACATTCCTGTTCATATCCCATAAATAATTTCTATTTTTTAATAAATTGTTTCCAAACTAATACTGACTTCAATCTTAAATTTAAGTTTTCTATTTTAAGTGTCAGACTTTTAACTATTGTTCCTCCAGAATGTTGTTTTTTTAAGGGTATCTCTTCCTATATTCCTGTCAGGCATAAGGTAATGTACTTAGGGTGAAACAAGTTTTTCTTTTTTTGTTTGGTTTGACTTGATTTTTGTACTATTTTTATCAAGAAAACACTTGGTAGACGGGACTCGAGTGATGATTGGGAGATTCCTGATGGGCAGATTACAGTGGGACAAAGAATTGGATCTGGATCATTTGGAACAGTCTACAAGGGAAAGTGGCATGGTATGTATGTAATATGGTGACATTGTGACAAATCATAATAGGATGTGTTAAACAACTTTTGTAAAAAAAAAAAAAAAATCAAAGGAAATATTCACTGTTTGCATCAATAAGCTATTTTGATTAGATTCAGGAATCCTCCCAATGTTTCTAACAAAAATTATGGGAAATAAAAACTTCACAGCAATCAGGACTCCTATTTTTATATTACAGTAATAATTTTTAAAAAGGAAATCCTCCCGGTTAGCTAGTCCTCAAAAAGATTTTTTTTTTCTTTTAGAAGTCTTTCAGCTGATTATTTGTATTATCACAAGTAAACATATTAAAAGTGTACCTCCTGGCCAGGCACAGTGACTCACACCTGTAATCCCAGCACTTTGGGAGGCCGAGGTGGGCAGATCACCTGAGGTCAGGAGTTCGAGACCGGCCTGGGCAACATGGTGAAGCCCCATCTCTAATAAAAATACAAAAATTAACTGGTCATGGTATCAAGCATCTATAGTCCCAGCTACTTGGGAGGCTGAGGCAGGAGAATCACTTGAACCTGGGAAGCAGAGGTTGCAGTGAGCCAAGATCGCACCACTGCACTCCAGCCTGGCAACAGAGTGAGAGTCTGTCTCAACAGCAACAACAAATGTACTTACTAAAGGAAGAAATATAAGTGGCCAGTAAACATATATAAAATGTTCAGCCTCACTAGTTAACAAAGAATTGCAAATTCAAAAAATAGAAATCATTATTTGCCTCTCAGTTGGACACAAAAGCTTTTTAAATTGGATTATATTTAGAGTAATTAACATATTTTCATCAAAGATTTAATATTAGTGAAAAATAAAAATGAACATGTTTCCAACTAATAGAGAATTGGATAAATTGATACCTTTATATATGATTATGTAGGAGTTAAAATGGCATTAGGGCTATTTATTGATATAGAAAGGTATCTTTGGTATATGAAATTATACAAAGCAGTATGTATAATAAGCTATATTATGGAGCTCATGGAAATATATAACATAATTTTTTATATGACAGTATTTTAGTATGTGTCTTCTTAAGCTGTCTTTTCACAGATACTCATAAATATTCACACTGCATTCAGGTAAAAGCCTAATAAGGTATACATTAGTATAATGTCACTTTTAAGGGAATTTTTTTATACCTTCAAAATGTTTTTAAACATTTTAGTGCTGTGCAGTATTTTAGTATACAAATAATAGAATAAGCACTGTATTACTCAGAAAAATCAGTGTTGATTTAACTTATTAAAATTTAATATATATACAGGTTAAGTTTCTTTCCTTCCCTCCCTCTCTTCCTCTCTCTCTCTCTCTCTCTCTCTCTCTCTCTCTCTCTCTCTCTCTCTTTTTCTTTCTTCCGTTCACTCTATCACCCAGGCTGGAGTGCAGTAGCATGATCTCAGTGCACTGCAACCCCTGCCTCCCAGGTTCAAGTAGTTCTCCTACCTCAGCTTCCCAAGTAGCTGGGATTACAGGCACGCACAATCATGCCTGGCTAATTTTTGCATTTTTAGAAGAGATGAGGTTTTGCCATATTGGCCAGGCTGCTCTCAAACTCTTGACCTCAGGTGATCCACCTGCCTCGGCCTTCCAAAGTACTGGGATTACAGGCATGAGCCACCATGCCTGGCCAGGCTGAGTGTCTTTAATCCAAAATCCAAAACCCAAAATGCTCCAAAATCCTCAAAGGAAATGCTTCTGGAGGATTTCAGATATGAATTAAGGATGCTGAACTGGTAAGTATAAGCAAAAGATTCCAAAATCAGAAAAAATTTGAAATTTGAGACACTTCTGGTCCCAAGCATTTCAGATAAGGGATACTCAGCCTGTGCATAAAAGTGCACGTAAACTAGCCAGGCACGGCGGCACATGCGTGTAGTCCCAGCTACTGAAGAGGCTGGGGTGGCAGAATCGCTTGAGCCCGTGACTGCAATGAGCCATGATCACACTACTGTACTCCGTCCAGCCTGGGTGACAGAGCAAGACTCTATCTCTGAAAAAATAAAATAGGCAGAACATTACTAGCACTCTAGAAACATCCCCCATGTCCTCTTCCAGCCAGTCACTCCTCTACCAAGGGTAACCACCATTGTGATTGCAACAGGAATCGAATAGTTGTGTACTCTCTGCGTTGGTCCCTTTCACTCAACAGTGTTTATAAGATTCATCTATATTGTGTGTAATTGGAGGTCATTCATTCTCTTTATAGTATTTCATTGTGTGACTATAACATGATTTCTTATTTCATCTATTGCAATTGGATCCTTTCCAGTTTGGGGCTTTTATGGATGCTGGTGCTGTAAACATTTTTAGTATATACCTTTTGGTAAACATGTGTCCATTGCTGGGTATGTACCTAGAAGAGAATTGTGAGACCACAGGATATTCATATGTCCAGTTTTAGTAATGTTGCCAACAGTGTTACAAAGTAGTTGTACCAATTTAAACACCTACTGACAATGTTGAGAGTTACAGCTGTTTCACATAAAGTTTTTTTTTAATTTCAGTGACAATTTTAGTCATTTTCCTAATCCAAAGCATCCTAAGTAATCCATAAATTTGAAAAAAATTTAACTACTCTGATAAAAAAGTTTCATATGAGTTTCCTACTTTTAAGCAAAGCTCCATAGGGCCTGTTACTTGTAGTTTCAACATTAGTTTCAGTTAATAAAGAAGCATTAAGCCTAGTAAATATAATTTAATATTATCAAATAATTTGGAAAATACCATGGGTACTTAATCTATTTCACTGAATTTCCATGGAACAAACAAGGTTAGCTATTTTTTGGATTCACATTTTGGAATACTAGTACAGGAATATCATTGTTAGTTGAGTTTTTAGCCTTAGAAAATTAATAGAGTTTAGATCGTTAAAGTATAAGTTATTTATGATTTAATAATGGTATGGAGTTAGGACTATGATAATTAGTGAAAATATCCAAGAACGTTTTATACTTTTGCATTTTAAAAATTGAAATGACACTTGGAATAACAATTGTCTTTTAGGTGACGTGGCAGTGAAAATGTTGAATGTGACAGCACCTACACCTCAGCAGTTACAAGCCTTCAAAAATGAAGTAGGAGTACTCAGGTGAGCTTGTGTGAATTACTGTTTTCCAGAGAAATAAGTTATTTTTATTAGCTCCTGGTTCCCAGTGGTAGCCCCTATTAGCTTTACAGTTTACTCAAAATGAATACATTTGTAGAAACAAGAGTATGTCTGAGTATATTTTCGTCTGTAACCACATTCTTTTAAGTAGTATGCAATGTTATATGGTACAGATGATAGAATACTTAATCCTAGACTGAATTAATGGAAGTATAATATTCTTATAATGTAAAGTAAAAGTTCTACTTATGAAAAGAATACTCTCCAGTTTTTAAGCTTATCAGAGTCCATTTAGAGATTGTATTTAGTCCTGGGCTCGGGAACTTTGGAAACATTAACAAACTAGAATATGTCCAGCGAGGACCACCTAAATAGGGAAGATTCTGTAGGTGTTACGGGGAAAAATAATCAACAGAGCTGAGGATATTTAGTTCAGAGAAGTCTGTTTTGTTCAAGAGAGTGCAAAGTTATTCCAGAGTGCAGGAAAAAAGTTATTCCAGAGAGCAGACCCAGGAAGCAAGCCAGAGGTGGAAGTTGTAGGAGAATGATTTTGTCTCAACATTTGGAAACTTTCTAATACCAGAACTTACATAAAGATATGGGAGTCAGCTGCATACTCAGTGATGAACTTCCCATCATTAAAGGCATTTAAGCAACCTCTAGTTGCCTATCAGATATATGTAAAAAGATATTTCTGCATAAGGTAGGAAGTTAGACTTGGCAATTCCTAGTCTCTTCTAAATTTATCCTTTTGTTGCTTTAAAAAAAAAAAAAATACTGGCCAGGTGCAGTGGCTCACGCCTGTAATCTCAGCACTTTGGGAGGTCAAGGCGGCAGATCACAAGGTCAGGAGATCAAGACCATCCTGGCCAACATGGTGAAACCCCGTCTCTACCAAAAATACAAAAAGTAGCCAGGTGTGGTGGCAGGCACCTGTAATCCCAGCTACTCAGAAGGCTGAGGCAGGAGAATCACTTGAACCCAGGAGGCAGAGGTTGCAGTGAGCTGAGATGGCGCCACTGCACTCCAGCTTGGCGACAGCGGGACGCCATCTAAGAGAGAAAAAAAAATCTTTTTCTAACAACATTTTACCAATAGGTAGACTACTTTGGTTCTCTTTTATAAGAATTGCTAAAATTTGTCAACATGCAACATTTACTGTCACATTTCTTTGTACAGGAAAACACGACACGTGAATATCCTACTCTTCATGGGCTATTCCACAAAGCCACAACTGGCTATTGTTACCCAGTGGTGTGAGGGCTCCAGCTTGTATCACCATCTCCATATCATTGAGACCAAATTTGAGATGATCAAACTTATAGATATTGCACGACAGACTGCACAGGGCATGGAGTAAGTTCCATTCTGTTAAATGTCTTGAAAATTATTTTTGAAAACCATTGAGGATGTTTTAAAGGTTTTGGCTGCTATTCTTTTGAATTGCATTTTAAATTACTGTCAAGGAGTAAGGATGCTAACTAATGGCTAGTAAATAATATGATACTAAAAAATAAATGTCTCTGTCTAGTGCAGCCTTCAGAACATGTATCAAGTATTTGATGATAAATACATGACTGCAAATTTAGTTCAGCACTCAGTGATTTAGCGAAGCAATAAAGGTTCAGAAGACAGAAATGGCAAAAACCTGCTAAAAAGTTGTTAATGGTTGTTGAAGTAAACAAAACAGTTAATTAGTTAACCATTAATTAGTTACTTTTTAAAATCATTTTCTCTGAATGCCCATATTTTTTGTTGCAAAATGGTCAGTTAATAAAATGAAAAATCTACATTCTGATGCTTTTTAAGGATTTCAAAGTGAGTTCATATCTGTTGAATTTTGCTATGCAATTTATAGAGTTATTTTATAAAGTTTATCATAAGCTAATATGGGGAACTGACTTTGAAGGAAAAATTTTAAATTTTGCATGGAACTCAAATGTAAATGAATAGGTAAATTAAAAAGTAAAATTAAATAAATTTGAAAGCACTTAGATGAAATTATAAACTCAGCAAAATATAAATTTGAAAGCTCTGTGAGAAGTTTAAAAATAGGCATGATCTTAATTATTTCGTTTTCGCAAATGGCTTTCACTTGCATAGACTATTATATCATTTAATCTTTATAATGTTATGAAGTAGATCCTTTTATTTTCTTTTTACAAATAAGGAAATTGAGGCTTTTAAGTGCCTTGCCTAAGGGCACACATTTAATAAGTGACAGCAAAGGTGTTTAACTCAAGATTTCTGGCTCCCAAAGTATTCTTTTCCCCATAACCACTGTGCTACTCTTACATTATAAAATTAGAATGAAAGAGTAAAAGGGTATATATGCCCTAACACCTACAACTCTGACTCAGTATTACTTCTAGCAAGTGTGTAGAGCCAAGACTCAAAACCAGATCTGAGTCTTAAATCTTCAAACTATACCACCTTCTCTTCCTCGAAACTAGGTAATATATGTGTAATTTAGATTGTTTATAAGCCTATATTCAGCCAAAATACTTATTACAGCAAATTATTACCTTATTCCGCAACACTCCCACTTACCCCTAGACTTGGAACAATCTCAGCCTTTCTGATAAGTTAGAATCTCTTAATCTGTTCAAATCTAAAGGCTTTTAAAGAATTTAAATCTTGCGAAGAGTAAACCATGGCAAAAATTGTAAACATTTGGTAAGAAACAAAGCTTACTCTCTTCCCACACCACTGGTCTCTCTGCACTTTTCTTCAGCAGGCCAAGCGTGTTCCTTCTTTAGGACCTTTATGTTTGTTATATTCTCTTTAGGATACACATGCCACAAATATCCTTATGTCTCTGTTCATATGTCCCCTTTTAATAGAAACCTCTGCTCACCTTATATAACTAACACGTCCCCACATCACTCTGTTACTCTATATACCCATAGGCTTGAATTTCTTTATAATGCACAGCTCCATCTTTATTGTTTATTATCTTTCATCCCCACTAGAATGCAGGCTGTGTGAGAGCCGGGGCTTGCTTTTTTTTTCCTTTCTTTATTCCTAATGCCTAGAATGGGACCTGCCATACTCAATACATAACTGTTAAATGAAAGAATGATTACATACAACTGCATATTATTGATAGATTTACCTTTTAGAAGAGAGAAAAGCCAAATCCTTCTCATATCACAACTGAGAAATGTGGCCGGGCATGTTGACTCACACCTGTAATCCCAGCATTTTAGAAGGCCAAGGTGGGAGGATTGCTTGAGCCTAAGAGTTCAAGTCCAGCCAGGGCAACATAGGGAGACCCTTGTCTCTATAAAAAATAAAAAATTTAGCTAGTTATGGTGGCATTTGCCTGTAGTCCTAGCTACTCAGTAGACTGAGTTGGGAGGATCACTTGAGCCCAGGAGTATGAGGCCACATTTGTCATGATCGTACCACTGCACTCCAGCCTGGGCAACTGAGCGAGACCCTGTCTCAAAACAAACAGGCTGTGCGTAGTGGCTCATGCCTAAAAACCCAGCACTTTGGGAGGCCAAGGTGGATCGCTTGAAGTCAGGAGTTCAAGACCAGCCTGGCCAACATGGTGAAATCCTGTCTCTACTAAAAATATAAAAGTTAGCCAGGCATGGTGGCACGTGCCTGTAAGCCCAGCTACTCAGGAGGCTGAGGTAGAAGAATTGCTTGAACACGGAGGCAGAGTTTGCAGTGAGCCAAAACTGCGCCACTACACTCCAGCCTGGGTGACAGAGTGAGACTCCATCTCAAAAAAAAATTTTTTTAATTGTTTTTAATGCCTGAAATCCCAGCACTTTGGGAGGCCACAGCAGGAGGATTGCCTGCACTCAGGATTTCAAGACTAGCTTGGTCAATATGGCAAAAACCCCATCTCTAGAAAAACAAACAAAAGAAAAAAAAGAAACAGTGATGGAGCAGAAGTGCCGGGATTAATTAAGACAAGCAGTGACAGTCAAGAAGAACATTATCAAATTGGAATAATGCTGCAGTCTGAAGAATAGTCAGTGAAGAGGTGATATTTTTTCAAAATGTCACTTTACAGTTTGGGATTATCAGTGTAAACTTTACAGTTACCTACTCTGAAACACTTTGCTTATTTTTAAATAGATCTCATCATTTAACACGATGCAATGAGTGTACGATGCTGTGAACATAGATCATTCCATTACGTTTGTCCAAGATTTTAGTAGCTGAAAAAGTACTAATTCCAAGTTTTAAGCCCTCCAGCAGAGTGTACTTTTTATTACCGGTTTAAAATTAACCACAGAAGATACAGTTTCTTTTTCCTTTTTGTTTCCTCTTGTAAGATGATAACATGCAACTGGTTAAATGTACCAATATATCTTCAGTTTCTGAAGGCTTTGTCAGGTTGAAACTCCTCTTATTAACAGTACTATGTGGGTTTCAGATAAAGGTGACAGATTTTTGATATCTCCTGGAAGTCTACTAAAACTATAATAAAGGAACTTTTTTTTTAAAGCATGGACACATAAGGGTGGGGACAATAGAGAGGAAGGAGACAATGTCAGCAACATTTTGAAAGCTGGAAAGCAGGTGGAGAAGTGACCATGAACTTAGTAGACCCAAAAAGGCTAAAGCATCAGTCAGCAGTGGGGAAATGAAAGCCAACCTGATTTATGTCATAGAATCCTCAATTCTCAGGAATTGGCAATATGAGCTGCCTCAGGGGATGAAGGGGTTTAAATAAAAAGGCCTGTTTGAAAAGCTGTTATTTCTCTAAATCTATTCTCTTACTCAGCGGGTAACTGCTCCATTCCTATCCTGGCAGTAGACTGTAAGTTTGTTATCTAGAGAGGGGAAAATAAATATCTCTGGACTGGGAAACCCTAATCTATGTCTAGGACATGGATATCTTTCCCAAAGCATGGGGATTGGATGACTATGTGCTTACTAAATGGTGAAGGGAGATTTCCCCAGCCCTCTCTTCATTTGGTTCCCAGCATGCTAGCAGACATACCTTACTCTTCCTGCAGGAGATTGGAAGAGTCTTGAGTGAATTTTACCAGCTTACGAGGAAAGATCCAAAAAAAATGACATCAGAGATTCCACCTAGATTACTGTATAATTCAAAAATAGCAAGTCCATATGTATGCTCAAAGACTCCAGGCAGCTTGTCCTTAGTCTGAGTAAGACTGAGTATCGCTGCATAACTAGAAATTGATGGGGAAGTCTCATGCAAATAAGAGACTATAAAACACGTAGAGAAAAATAGGCACTGGGAGAAACACATACAATGCAATTCTCAGAGGGAGAAAAGATAATTTTGAATCCATTAAACAGGAACAGAGGTTTTCTAAGGAACATTCATATAACAACAACAACAAATGCTAAAATGTTGGTATTTACAATACGCTGGAAATTATATCCTTTGCAATTATTTAAAGGTAACTTTTAAATGTTGATTTAAAAGGAAGTACATAGTTTCTCAGAATTCCTTTAAGGGGTCTTCAGCAAAAATAGTTTTAAAACTATGTTAAACACTTACGGTTTAATATTAATTTCTGTATTACGCAACGTAATTCAGAAGTGATACTTAAAGTTTTTACAAACCAAGTTACATAAAATTTATATAATTAATTGGAACACATAACCAGATGCATCAGTAAGTCTTGAAGTGGATATTCCTGTTTTCTTCTCTAGTGTCAGTGACCAAAGCACACTATTTTCACTACTTTTTTTGTTTTTTGTTTTTTTTTTTGAGACAGGATCTCTCCTCTGTCACCCAGGCTGGAGTGCAGTGACACAATCTCAGCTCACTGCAGCCTCTGCCTCAAGCAGTCTTCCTACCTCCGTCTTCCTAGTAGCTGAAACTACAAGGGTGCACCATCACACCCGGCTAAAGTTTTTGTATTTTTTTTTAGAGACAGGGTTTTACCATGTTGCCCAGACTAGTCTCAAATTCCCAGGCTCAAGCAAGCCACTGCCTCTGCCTCCCACAGTGCTGGGACTACAGAGGTAAGCCAGCAGGCCCGGCCTATTTTCACTACATTTGACTGAAGTTTGTTATTGTTGTAAAACAGAATATGTTCCAAGGTATCAGGCTGATAGATACTAGGACAAACAGGATGGTCCTAATGGTCATCAACTGGTTCTTCAAATCCTAACTGTTGCTGCTGATTTTGTAACATATTTTAAAGTATATTTTGACTTCTAGTCAGCCATTTCAGCCTCATGTTTGGTTCTCTGTTTTAATTCCCGCCCCCCCACCTCCGGTCTATTCCCATGGGTCAAATGATACAGATAGAATTCCTTACATACCTAACCTTTCCTCCCTAATTGCAGTACTTGTTCATCTTGAATGCCAATCATAGTTTCATCCTGAGGGCTTTGTTTTGGAATTATCTCCA